CATCCACAATGTTAAACACTATTAATGGAGTGTGAAAAATGAGATCTCTCCCAACACATATTCTATTGTGAAATTTAATTAGCAAATATACTAAGTATGTAACAATGACACCTACTGTTACAATCAATGCTCTACATCAACTCAGACTCCCAGCTACCTCTCATTTCTGTCTTTTTGCAAAGGAGACTCAGAAACCCTAGTAACTCTTGCCCTGTTTCCTCGGTGCTTCTTTATGATTTCTGGGCCTCAACTCTCATTCTGCAAAGTATCGTCTAGATGATGAGAGTTAAAAGTTGATGTTCCAACAGTAAATGAAATTTCATATAGCACATAGACATCTATTTGTTCAACAGATTGAGTACCTACACATGCAACGGGTTATAGCAGCTACTAAAAATGACCTGGTGAGAGGCACAGTCTTGAATTTCAGAGTCCCAGTTTGTAGAATAAAACAATTATTGAGCCATATGAATGCTAGATGTTATGGTCAAACAGAAAGGAAGCTACCTGGAGAAAACTAGAGAACCACGTAAAGATGTTACATGAAGGAAGAACATGATGATCCTTCCAAATAGATAGAGAGGAGGAAAAGTGCAAGAAGGAAGGATGGTAGTGTGACAGTAAAGAGTGAAAAATGGTGAGTGACAAGGCACTGGCAGCAGGGAAGGAGAGAGTTCATCAGGAGGTAGAGTCAATGGGTACAGTGACTGCCTGGCTGTGAGGGACCTAAGAGAAAACTCAAGAATTCAGGCTGGGTTCCCATCCTGACGTTGTCCCATCCTTGCACTGTAGGCTTAAGGGTATGGTAGGGGGGAACTTGGGTTTTTAGTGCTACAGTATGAAAGATATTTAGTAATGCACTGGATGCATGTCTAGAAGGTCTTGAATGGTCTGGTCTGGAACTCTAGAAAGACAGTTTGGATGTAAAATTTTGAATTTATCAGACTGTTCGGTAGGTTGATTCTGACTGCACATAAAAGAGTATAGTCTAAGAAAGGCAGTGGGCAGAATTTTGGAAAACTGTAGTGAACGGGTTTTGGCCCAGGACACTGTAGCCAGGAAAGCCTCAACCGGAAGCAGGAAGCCGCTATCTCCCCCGCCCCTAGGAATTTACCTGTGACGCCATCTTCCTGTCCCTGGGAATTTACCTATGGCTCAAAACCTAAGACCAATGGGCTGCCTGTGCATCCCTAATGCCCACCTTAGGTTCCACCCCAAACCGAGGCTACTTACATACCCCCATGCCACGTGTCCACCGGAGAAATCACCGGCCGCCAGCAGTGGGGGGTGCTGGCCATCTCTCTCTGTGTTCTCAGAATAAAGGCCGCTTTTTGTATTATACTTCTCATCTTTTGGAAATATTTTTCATCTTTTGGAAATAATCCTATCATTTGGTGCCGTGTGTGGGTAATCCATTCTAACTTCTAGCCCTCACAGGAAATGTTGACACTGCCAGACTCCTTGCCAACAGAAAAAAAATTGCTGCTGAAGACTGAGGAGGTTCAGGGCAACAACAGCCCCCTTTAAGGTGTCCGTCTCAGAGTCCAAGTTGCACTAAAGTCTCAGGTAAGACAATTCTCTATATTTGTGGACATAGAGGCCATATATACAGAGTTCTTCCTGAGTTTTTAGGCGCCTATATTAAGTCCTCAATCTCTATGACAGGGTATTGATGGTCAACCTATGCCATTTACAAACAGGGCCTATTTTGTGTAGGTCCCAGTCCTAAATCTTAAAATGCTTTCACTCCCTTATGTTTATGCAGGCTCACTTAGACACACTGAGGCCTCGGCAGCTTCCACCTGTTGTCGCTGGTGGACCTCTCCTTAGTGATATAAGACCACCCCCTTCCTTTCTTATTCACCAATTTGTTAGACAACCCTGGTCAAGACTGACAGATACATTTTGTCTTCTCACTTTGTTTATACTTTTTCAGGATACATAAAAGCCTTTCCCACAACCAGGTAAACTGCTGATACAACCAGGTTACAGCGATCCATGCCCAAATCAAAGTTGCTAGACTGCCATCCTGGTTCCACATCACTCAGGCTAAGAGGTGCCCTTCCAGCCCTAAATCTGATCATTCTTAGTGGTCATCTCATCTTCTGTCGCCCACCCATCTCCGTCTCACAAAAGCCTCACAGCCACAGTTAACAGGCTAAATCATGTTTTGTTATCCACTTTGGTTCCTAATTTCTTACATTCTATTAATGATCATTTTTACAGCAGGACTCTTGACAGTCTTTCCTAAAGACTCCCACATCATGTGTAAGATAATCTTCACAATGTTCTATACAGTAACAGTCGCAGTTCTTTCTACCTCAGCTGTCTGGTTAAATGTGACATCCCTGAAAGCCTAAGCCCTTACCTTCCCTATATTGGTACAGCCACTGCCTTCCCTGTTCCCCCGATTTTTTCCAGTTCAACTCCTGGACCGGAGACAAGTTTTATACACCTACCCTCTTAACTTTTATGCTTTCAGATGGGGGAGTAATCACCACTTATAACATCATTTCCCCTAACCTCACACTTAATTTTCAGAATTCTGCCCTACCGTGGAACATGTCTAAATCAAAGGCACCTTTCTCTCTACCTCACCTGGGTCCTTAAATATGACAGTGCCATGTCTCCTCATAACATCTTATCTCTTTGTTTTTCCAGTCTAACATATGTGCATTCACCAGTGAAGTTGTCCTGGCAAAACACCTGGCACCAGCTTCTACCTGGGCATCAACCGTCATCCCGTTGACTCCCCTAGGCTCCAGTACAGCGCCTTCTGCCAGCAGGAAGTAGTTAAAGAGAGAAATCTTTTCCCCTTTTCATAATAATAATCATAAGATGGGATATGAAAGGGTTTTGGCCCAGACATGACACTGTAGCCAGGAAAGCCTCAACGGGAAGCAGGATGCCCCTATCTCCTCTACCCCTAGGAATTTACCTGTGATGCCATCTTCCCGCCCCTGGGAATTTACCTATGGTGCGAAACCTAGGACGAATGGGCTACCTGTGCATCCCTAATGCCCGCCTTAGGTTCCACCCCAAACCGAGGCTACTTACATATCCCCACGCCACGTGTCCGCCAGAGAGATCACCCGGACGCCAGCGGTGGGGGGTGCTGGCCATCTCTCTCCGTGTTCTCAGAATAAAGGCCACTTTTTGTTTTATACTTCTCATCTTTTGGAAATATTTTTCATCTTTTGGAAATAATCCTATTATGTAGTATTTAAGCAATGGCTAGAGGATTAGAATTCCACAAAGATACCTTGAACAAGTGGGCACAGAGATAGGAAGCAACAAAGTAGGAACTCCAGGTTCCTGGCATGTATCTTTTGCTATAATAACTTCAAACAATCATACTCCTTTCATTTATGTTTTGGGTATTTATTAAAAAATAGTCCCATAAGTCAATCTGTAATTATTCCAAAATACTTTTTTAAAAAGACTACTATAATACAATCCTTTTAGAAACATTAGAGAGGTCTAGAAACATTTATGTTTTCCATTAAGCTTTACATTACCTAAATGCAGAGCTCACAAATTTAAATATCAGACAAGTCAAATAAGTGACTAAAACCATTTGACTGTAGATGGCCCAACACCAGGTGAACACGTCTTTCTTACAAAAGAACAGCTAAGCCAGTTTTCACTGACCATATTTTTACTAAGTTGTTATGAAAAGCTAGAACTCAGAATTTTTACATGAAATCTCCAAATTTAAAAATGTGGGCAATTAAATTTTTTCAAAATACTTTGTGAGCCTCACAAAATACTTTAGTAGTTCTAAATTGGGTTATAAAACGTGTTTTACATTTCTCCTTTAAAGTACAATACAGCATAATAAGCTTTACACTGAGAAATTAAGCAGGTAAAATGAAAGGTTCACAAGCAGTAAGTAATAAAGCAAGATCTAGAATCTAGTTCTCGGTCCAAAAATTTCATTCCTCTGATTATATAGCCTCTTTACTTAACAAATGAAATACGTACACAAGTTTGCTAGACAAACAAGTTAATAATCACAATGGGCAGTAATACATGTAGGAAGGATAACATCAGCTTCATAATTAATACAGATACTCTTTCTCTTCCAGGCAATTAGTTGCCAATAATTCCTCAGATCAACTGTGTATATTGCACAAATGCTTTTTTAAATGTATATGACAAAGTGTCTTTAAGCAAAATCATAATTTAGCGAGACTTTATAGCAAGTTTGTAAAACAACATCACATAGATCTCTGCAATTTCTGGAGAAAAATTTAATTATTGCTGATAGAAAGCTGACTCCAGTTATTGTCTTTATTTCATAACATAAACTATATCAGTTCTTGCATTAACATATATTGTCAGCCTATAATTTCCTGTTTCGTGGAGTGATTCCCAAGCTCAGCGGCTTCAGTGAAACATGGAGTAATTGCTAAGGAAGTGTAAAAGGTAGGGGCTGACAGAGGTAATTATCTTCTTTTCTCTTGTAAACGGAACTCTACGTGACATACGCTGATTTTGCAAAACCCAGGTTAAAAAAAAACCCTGGAACCAGAGGAGGTGTGTGTGGGTCACCCCTATCCCCAGCAATGACTGCAGAGTTTATTCTCTCACAGTCCACGTACTCCTTCGTGAAGCAGCCTTTACCTATGAAGTCCTAATGGCTGTTAGTTGCATCCTCTGCCTTAACACCCGGCTCACTTTGATTTTCCTTTTGGGAGTCACAAACTACTTGGCAGCTGAAAACAGTCTTCCGTCCAGGAAAGCAATTCTCACCCCGCCAGGCCAGAGTCGGCGCAGAATCGGAGTGGTGCCAGGCCTGTCTAGTCCGGCAGTGCCTGTACAACCCTAACCAAGCTTCGACCCACCGTCCTCATAGCGGCAACCTTCAGAGCAAAGGCAGAGCGGCCTCATGGCGATCCCGGACCTGGCGAAGTGCGACTGACAGCCAGGGCCCGAGCCGCCAAAGCCCAGGGGCGCCGCGCGCGGACCGCCATGCAAGCAGGCCACACAGCGCTCACCTTCACAGCCAGACCCCGGCCGTCCGGCGGGCTGCTGGCCTTGCGCCAGCGCCGGGTTTGAGACCCACAGCCCGGCGCAGAAGGCAACCACGGCAGCTGAGCTCGCGCACCTCATGCCGAGAAAGCAGTTTGCTCTCCGATCGCCCGAGGGTACCAACGCAAACTCTGTGCCTAGCTCTAGGCAAGAAAGAATCTGCCCGCAGTTGCTAGGACGAGTGACGCAGCTCAACTGAGAGCTTTTATTGGTTCTCTATCTACAGGGAAAGGGGCGGAGCTAAAGAGGTTCTTTCTGTCCCTCCGCTTTTTGTGCGTAATACTTACGCCTTGTGAGTCTCCAGAGGAAAGACGCACTAAAGCTATTCGCTGGTTGATCGGGAGGAAAGGCGGAACCTTGGCGTTCATTGGTGTTGATGCAGGAGGTCGGCGTGTCCAACAGGACGCAGTGGGCGGGCAGCAACGTGAGGTCTCCGCGGTGCCTGACGGGCCTATTAGTCGGCTGGAAGCCTTTGGCGGTAGGGAGTTGTTGGTTAGTGCTGCCGCGGTCCCTGCCGCCTCATGGCGGCCATCGGCGTTCACCTGGGCTGCACATCAGCCTGTGTGGCCGTCTATAAGGTGAGAGCCCTGGGGGATGAATCGGGGTTTCACGCGGGCCCTCAGTTCTCCGGCACCGGCACTGCAGCGTGCGAACGGCGCATGGGTGGCCCGGGGACGCGTGCGGAGTGGCGCTGCTGTGGGGCGGGGCCGAGCGGCGTTTCCGAGGATCCACGGCTCGGCTGCGGGCTGCGTCGGAGCCGGGCTCCGAGTCCTCACCTAGGCGATGAGGTTCCTGGGGGTCCGGGACGGCCGGGCGTGTGAGGTGGCCCGAGTCCTGGGCGATTCCGGGACGTCAAGGACTAGGACAGCCAGAAGACACCCGGGTTGCAGTGTCCGGAGCGGTTGGTGGTGCCCCTTGCTCAGGATCCAGAGGGCCAGTGTCTGGGGCTCGGGGCTCGCAGGCTGAGCCCGAAGGTCCGCGGTACACAGGGGTTTAGCGTCTTTCCGGGAGCGCCTGAGTACGCTGTCTGTGGGGTGAGTCGACTTGCGTGTTGTACACATTCGGCCCCTGCGGAGGTGAGAGCTTGACGCGGGGATGTGACCTTGCTTTCCTCTATAGTGAGGCAGGAGGACCAACCATAATGAACTCTCCTGCCAGTAGCCCGTGTGCAGGTGTTACAGGATTTGTAAGGAAAGCCCAAAGCAGTCAAGATGGAAAAAAGATGTGTTTTTTGTGAGAAAGAAGCGAAGCAGAAAGGGTGTGTAAATCTTAGGTTTGATCCAATTGTTGACTGAATAGCAATCTGAAAAAATGAGGCAGTTCTACATGGGATGTAATGGTGACTAAATCTACAAGTTTTAAGGTTTAATACAGTAATTTTTTTCCCACGTGGATGGAAAAGTGACACTATATGTGGCTCATGTTCAATGAGGTTTTATATAATCATTCTAAAAACTAATACACTTTATGTTTTTTTCTCTAGGATGGCCGTGCTGATGTTGTTGCAAATGATGCAGGTGATAGAGTTACTCCAGCTGTTGTTGCCTACTCAGAAAATGAAGAGGTACTATTCTTTTTGTACTGGGAAATAATGAAAAATAACATATGTTACAACATGTTGCTCTTTTTTCAGGTGGTTGGAATGGCAGCAAAGCAAAGTAGAATAAGAAATATTTCAAATACTGTCATGAAAGTCAAGCAGATCCTTGGCAGAAGGTATGGAATAAAGTGGTACTTTACAGTATGGCATCAAAAATGCATTCATCTAAGTGAAAAGTGAAGTAAAACTAGAAACACCACAGCTTATGTTGTTGCTTTTATAATTGAATCATTCCAGAAAATAACCAAGTTGTTTCTTTTGATTTTTGTTGGTTCTTAAGTGAGGATGGGATTCACTCAGATAATTGATTGCTCCTGACAAGTTAGTGTTGACAAATATTAATATCCATTTACTTTTGACAGTTTGTCTCATTTGGAGGTGGTAATTTTCACATTTTTATAATTTTTAACCAAAGGAACTTGATAGGCTTTGTGGAAATCTGAAGATTTCCTTGCATGGGGGTTGAATTTTGCAAAATTTTGTAATTGATCATAATTTATGTAGAGGCTATTGATTTTCTTCCTCAGGTCTCTTTGTGAAGCTTTCTGGGAACTAACCTCCACTTGGCTTACAAATTTAATTATTAGAGAAACAGCTTAAGTGATGTGTTATGTAAGAATCAGGTTAATCATTTGTTGTAATTTTAATTAGAAGATTAAAGAGATTGCTTCCCCAGACTTCTGTCTCCTCAAATTATAGATTACCATAATAATTAAAGAGTTCTCATTTTCACTAGAATAGTACTACTTGGTAGAATCGTTTTAAATTTGCAAAGTGCTTTCACATCTGTCATTTTATTTAAGCCTTACAACAGCTCTGTAAAAATTGATAGGGCAGGTGCTTTCTCATTTATTGATGAGAAAATCAAGGTATATGCAAGTGTGGCATTTCTAAGTTAGAGAGGTAGACAGATCTCTTAACTTTCATCCCCAGGTTCTGATGTCCCCTCCTCCTCTTCCTTGGGTGTTCTAGGCCATTCCTCTACCATTGAACTATATCCCAGCCCTCCTTACCCTTCTGTTTCATTTGATTGTCTTTTCCTTGTATTGATTTTAGGATTTGGAGATTATGTATTGGATTTTGTACTCATTTCTTTTGTACATACAGATATTTTTGTATTAGTATTTTTTTTCTTGTATCTCTAGAAAGTATAGTATTTTGGAGAACATTCAAGTTTTGTGATCCTATATCCTGTACAAGTATATAAAACAGTACAAAGTGTTTGTGGTGTCAGATATTCTCAAATTATATATTCTGGAAAAAAGCAAGGATGTGTAATAGATGTCAGAGCCAGAATCACTGGGTGGCTAACAATTTGTTTTTTAATTAAACTTTGAGATACTTGTAGTTTCACATGTAGTTTAAAAAAAAAAATAGAGGCATCTGCTTTATAACTAGATTTCCCGCTTCCTTTTTTGGTTGCAAAACTGGTCTAATATCACAAGTAGAAGACTGACGTGGATATATTCAAGATAAGGAAACATTTGTGTAACTCTGTATCCCTTGAGAGCCAACATGTATTTGTCTTTTATTCTGCTCTTTGGAGGCAGATAGCTAGAGTAATGATGAACCTGTATTCTGCCTTATGCTCAATGCTTTGTGTTAGCAGGTTGACTTAAGCTTACTCTTCTGATCCTGAGAATTACTTTTTAGCAAAGGAACACAAGAGTGGTAGCAGGTGAGGAACAGCCACAGCATGATACTTACTGTAGGCCTGGGAGTTAGTTTTTTCATGGTACAGGTTGTTTTTCTCGTCACCTGTGTACTCACTAGACATTGCTGGTTTTCAAAGACACACAGTTGTACCATTTGTCAACCTTGGAAGCATTTGGCCTTTTTGTTACCAAGTTATTGAACCTTTAGTCCAGTGCCCGCCTTGAGTGAACTCCAACGGTGGGCTTTCTCAGTCTTGCAGACATGCCTGTTTATGACCTATTTGCTGCCAAAATGATCCTTACACCCTTCCTGTAACTCTCATTCCCTGTGGCCTTCCAGCCAGAAATGCGGTCCTTGGACCTGACTTCTCAGCAATTAGCCCTGAGAGGGAAGAATCGGCTGGCTCCTGGGAATACGCTGAGAGCACACAGAGCTTCCCCACACCTTCACATTTGTACTTTGCTGCCCAGGCGCTTGCTTCAGTAGTCTTCCCAGCCCACTATGGCTACTGCCAGTAGCAGTGCAGGCATCCGGTGGTCCAGACAGGAGACACGAACTCTTCTCTCCATATTAGGTGAGGCAGAGTATATTCAACGCCTTCAGACTGTGCATCACAATGCAGATGTCTATCAGGCTGTGTCTAAGCGAATGCAACAGGAAGGCTTCCGCCGCACCGAACGTCAGTGCCGCTCCAAGTTTAAAGTTCTGAAGGCATTGTATTTAAAGGCCTATGTTGCTCATGCCACAAGTATGGGCGACCCACCACACTGTCCTTTTTATGACACATTGGATCAGCTTCTTCGAAATCAGATAGTGAGTGACCCAGACAACTTAATGGAGGCTGCTGCTTGGGCCAAGCACTGTGATCAGAACTTAGTGGCCTCTGGCACAGCAGGGGAAGAGGGAACCAGCATGCTGAAAGCAAAAAGGACTCAAGCAGCAGATGGCCAGCCTGTCTTGAAAACAGTTAAGGAATTAGATGAGGATTGTCAGCTGAGAATCAGTGACCGGATACAAGAAACCAGTGACCTTGAGGACTCCTGGGATGAATCCTCGGGTGCAGGTAACTTTCAAGCATGTACAGGATTAGGGTCTCGCGATCATTTCATTCTAAACATCAAATGAGCATTGAGAGAGTGCTCTCTTCAACAGCCTGTTTCTGTCCCATCCTACCATTTTTTTCAAACCTAAGAGTAAGATAAAGGGTTCCAGATTTAAAAAGCTGTAACCCTAAGTATGTAAAATATTAGAATTCTTGAAACTTAAAAGACATACCCTACAAATAAACTAGTTTTGGCAAAAAGTGATAATGGTAGAAAAGTGATAAGTGGTTAGAAATACACAGGGAAAACGTGGGTTGGATAGCTACATGGAGAAGGGTTCTAGAGGCAAGAGGGAAGTTTTGGAGATTACAACAGGCAAAATGTAGAGTACAGAATTTTTTCAACTTCCTGGAAAGATTGCTTCCCAAGAACAGCCCTAGTTTTGTAATCCAGCTTTGCTGCTTGGCTCTAGGCATTCCCTTGGCAGGAATGTCCTCTCTGCAACATTGTTGCTTTGTTTTTCAGGGTGCTCTCAAGGGACCCCCAGCTACAGCAGCTCCCACAACCTTTTCAGAGGTGCAGTTGCTCCCTGTCAGAGCAGCCCTATGACCAGATTGGGCATGTCCGGTGAGCCTAATCCTTCCACCAGCACCAACCGAAACCCTCCTGGTGCAGCCTCCACACTGCAGCCTCCAGTCTTCTCTTCCAGACTTGATTTTGTCTCTGGTGGGAATATTCCTGTGGCCAGTGAGCCCCCAACAAGGTGGGCAAGGCGAAGAAGGCGGTCAGTGGCCAGGACAATTGCAGCCGAGTTGGCAGAAAACAGGCGTTTGGCACAAGAGCTTTCAAAGCGAGAGGAAGAAAAACTGGACAGGCTAATTGCTATTGGTGAGGAGGCCAGTGCCCAGCAAGACACTGCCAATGAACTGCGCAGGGATGCGGTCATCGCACTCAGACGCTTGGCCACGGCAGTGGAAGAGGCAACTGGTGCTTTTCAGCTAGGGCTTGAAAAATTGCTTCAGAGATTGATTTCAAATACCAAAAGTTAGGAACTGATTGCAGAAGGATACAGTTCCTAAACTAGTAAAAGTCTACTTCCAGCACCTGCCTTCTGGTACCCTGACTTACTGTGTCCTCAGAAGAGAGAAAATGAATCATTAATATGTGGAGTGGTAGGAGTTTACTTGTGAGTTCCTTTTCCCAAGATCCTCCATTAATCTTCCCAAAATGTGAAGGATTGCCTAACACAAAACAGATGGAGCTAAAATTCAAGAGCCAGTTCGTCCTGGCTTTGTCACTGATACGAAGCAGTCTCCTTTACCTTGCTGTGACAGTTTCCTCATCTGTAAAATGGAGGACAGATAACTCCTGCCCTGCCTACCTCACAGGGTTGTTGTGAGGATCAGATAGGTAATAGATGTGAAAATTTAAAAGCACTTTTACATATGTAAGTTATTAATGCACATGACCTTGGTTGAGGCAAGGCTAAAATGAGCACATTAGTTCACAAGACATAGAAGTACTGTTGCATACCTTCACCTCATTACTTGAATTGTTACTAGCTTGATTTGACTGCTTCATGAAGTTTCAGATCTGTTTTTCAAATCCTTCCGTGGCTCATTAGCCTCCTAAGACACAGTATGTATTTGTATCTTTATCTCTTAGCTTTACTGTGATGGCTCTGACAAGTCTACTAGTAAGCACTTAAAATAGTCAAGTGAGTATTCTTGCCTTCATTTTCATAATTCTTGTCTCCTGTCAAGATAAGGACATAGTTAAGAACTGCCAGGCAACCACAATTAATAGTATGCTCTGGTTCATACTGATAATTTTCAATATGATAAAATATTGGCTGTTATATAAAATAGTAAGTGTAAGTAAATTCTTTAAATTTTATATTATTTGGATCCCTTTGTGCCTATGTTATATGTTTACTTTGTGGTTGCCATTTGAACACCATGGAAACAGTTTGGATTATATCAGTTTCCAATCTGCTTTTGGTAAATTTTGTTCTTATACCTATTTTTGGTTTTGTTTATGGTTTTATTGTTTTGATCCACTTTGTTAAAGAGGACAAACCTTAGAAGACTTTCCAAGGTCACTTTTTCTCAGTAGTATAAACAAAAGTTCATGTAGTTAATGGCCTATAGTAAGAGATGAGCTTTGTTTTCACTTTAGCTTTGAGTCACTGTAGATGAAGACTGTCCATGATAAAGTTTTAAGCACAAGCCCTGAGCAGATATACCTTCAACCTCAATACACATTTATTAGGAGAAATGAAGCAGCATTTTCAGTTAACTAGAAAAAAACCATTACAGGTCTTAACTAAATTAATTTAAAGCTCTTAGTAGTTTATTAGTACTTTCAGGAAATACAAATAAGAATCTTTGGGTTTAAAAGGAGTACTTTCTGGAAATGTAGATAGGATTTGGGATTTCTGCAGCCAGGCATGGTAGTGTGTGCCTATAATCCCAGCACTCGGGAACCTCACAAGTGGCAAGCGTGCTGGCCACCAGGGTGAGCACCAACTAGGTGTATGGTACAGCAGGCTGGAGCACTGCTGGACTCTAATCCTGGCACATCTCCTTTCATTGGGCAAATCACTTGCCCTTTGTATGCTTTGGTCTCTGTTTCTAAAATGGCAGGTTTGTACTGGATGCTTTTTTTTCTAGTACCTTTCAATTCTAAAAATATTTTAAATAGCATGTCTTTAAAAAAGACAATGAAAACAAAATTTCAGTTATGACATTTTCAGTTACCGCAGCATATTAGTATATGTTGGAAATTCTGGTAACAATTGTATTTTAAGGGAGCATTCTATAGTGTTAATGTTAATAAACCCATGAACTTTTAACTACCAGATCCAACATGTGGATCCTTTGCTTTCAAGCACTTGGAAGGCTGAGGCAGGAGGATTGCCATGAGTTTGAGACCAGCCTGAACTACATAGCAAGACCTTGTCTCAACAAAACAAAACAACACGTGTTAAGGCATTGAAAAACACATACATACATAGATATCTTAATTGTTTTAGGTCATTATGTGGAAGGATATATATCAGTTGTAACTGAAAATCACTAATACAGATTAAATAGATTTTCTGGGAAAATGGAATACTTAAGAATTAGAACTGTACCATATAAATCTATGATAGGAATGTGTAGAGGCAGGGATTGATTTAAAATAATGAAAAGCGCTGCAGAACAAAAGTAGAGTTACAGTTTGGAGGTGCTGCTGTGAAAATCTAATGAATCAAGGGCTACAGTGTGGGAAGAAAGCTCAAGAGAAAGAGTCCTAACAAAGTAAACAGAAAAATCTGCTAAGAATATGAGGAGAAAGGTGGTGGTGAGAGGAGACTGTGCTGGGAAGCAAGCAGAGTCCTGCCTAGGCTCCAGTTCCAGGCCCACTACCTTCGCAGCCTCACAGACCTTTCTTTACTGACTCAGTTCCTCCCACATGAGACCAAGTCATTGTCCCACCTACCTCACAGGGGTGTTGTGAGGACTCACAGGCAGGTGAATGTGAAGCACTGTTAGATGAGTAGGCACTGTGGGCAGAGTCCCTGGTGCGATGGAGTGCCATGATGATTATCAGAGGTGTTTAGGAGGGAGAGAAAACGGCATGCTGGGAATGTTGTGGTCCAATGGTTGAGTCAGTGCTGTCTCCTGAAGACCAGGATGTGAACGCAGTGCTTGTGTGTATTGGCCTCCCACTACCTTCACTACCTTTGTGTTTCTGTAATTTAATCCTCTTGTGGACAAATAAAAGTTCTTACTTGTATGTAGTTGTGGGTTGTCTGCTGCTTTCTCGTGATACCTGTGCCGCTTTGTCACCTCCATCTGTGTTTTCTACTTCCCTGCTTTTGAGTCTTACCGTCTTGCCTGGGTCTGGCCCTGAGAGCTACGTGTGCTTTCTGTCCTCAGATGAGAGAGATCCTTTTTGAATGGCAGTTAAAAAGTTGTTTTTCATTTCTAAGAGTTCTTTAAATTCTACAAAACACCTTTAAAAGTTAACCCATCTAAGTAGGAGATAACCCACACACAGATTAAATTATCCTGGTTGCCTTGAATTCTGTGATAAAAGAAAAATGCTTGAAATTGTAGATACAGTTCCTTTTTTTTTGTCTAGTCTTAAAATGTTATGTAGGTAGTAGCTTAGGTGGTGTAGTTAAAGGGAGGAGCAGAAAGGTTAATAAGAAAAACCTTTAAGTTTATAATGAACCTCTAGATACCATCCTGTCATGGTATGAATTAGTAGTGTCACTTTCAGCAAGCTTGTCTGCTATTAATTGCTACTTAAGTGATAGTAAAGTAAGAAGAATCTAAAAATATTTCAGTTCGAAGCCCAGTTATTTTATCTTTTATTTACACAGGTTAAGATCTTCAAGATTTTCTCTAATCCATCTGTAATTACCCACTATTAATTTTCATCTTGATTAAACACTTAAAATTGGTTTCTTTATTAAAGTAGCCACAGCTTTTTAGAAACCTCCTAGGAAGGATACTAGTCCATGTCATCTTTATGTCTCAGTAAAATTAAGCCAAGGGTCAGAGATTCCTATCACTTTGGGGGCAGAAGTACAGTGGTCGTTTACAGTTTATTAGTAGGAGGCAATGTAATAAAGTTTTGGACAGGAGTCACCTGGTAACTAAAACCTGGGATCAGTTGGCTCTGCCTGTTAGTAAGAATTGTTACCCCTCTATGAACTTACTTCTCTCAATGCCCACCAAACTTACCCCATGTAGGTATGGTGAGAATCAAGTAGATGAAAATGTTCTATAGTATGTTTGAATGGGTACTGCCATCTAAAGCAACGTAATTTTTTTCTTGTCATATACATTTAGTAGTATGGAGCCTTATTATAAAACTTTTATATGGATACTCTACTACTCTGCATTAAATACATTTGCATTTAGGCTCAACCCTTTACTTTTGGATGTTGATTCTGCTCCAAAACTAAGTAACACAGATAGATGGTGTTAATGAGATCTGCCCTCAGTTTGCAGTCTCACTTTTTATCCTTTGTATCTTAGTTGTTGTGTCTTCAGGATCATAATGTGAAAGTGTGTGATATAAAATCAGTGATAAGATGCAAAGTCATATGTGTCATGGTCAGCACAATAAAGTGTACTTTCAGATTTGAAGATTAACACTTTAGGAGCATTACTATAACTGTCATACATAATCGATAAATTCTAATTTCTATAATACTTGAAGACTTACTGAGTTGTCTAATGATTTTGTTTATATTTTAGTATTTGTTGACATTGAAAAGTATAATCTTTAAACCTTGTATAATTTTGAAACTAATTTTAATACTTAGCTATGTTTTTATCTTTCTTTATGGACAGCTCTGATGACCCACAAGTTCAGAAATACATCACAGAAAGTAAATGTTCAGTGAGTATGATTCTATTACTACTTCTTGTTATACAGAGTGCCAAAGGTCATGACAGGTAATGTTGATGTTAAACTTTGCATTTTTATTAAGTTTATTCCTTCTTTAGTCCAACTATAATTTCTTTTATAGGTCGTTGAAAAAAATGGGAAATTACGATATGAAATAGATACTGGAGAAGAAACAAAATTTGTTAACTCAGAAGATGTTGCCAGACTGATATTTAGTAAAATGAAAGGTATTAAGCAAAAGAGCAATTAATTTTAAGTGACCTTAAAATTAAAGGTGATCTTTTAAAAGTTTGCTTTTACAAAACAGAAGTAATTTTGATCTTGGGAGAAGTGACTAAGCAGATTAGCAGTAAGGAAACCTAAACACCATGGCTGGATTAGCCACTTTCTGGCCTTGTGACTTCGCCTTTTGTGATGTGCCTTCCATGACTATGGTTTCCCTGAAGTACTGGTTGAGTCTTCCTCACCTGAAATGCTTGAGACCAGAAATACATCAGTGTTCAGGTTTGGTTGTTTGTTTAAGGATTTAGGCATATTTATATAGATCTTACTGGTTGAATATCTGTAATCCAAAAGTCCAAAATCTGAAATGCTCCAAAATCTTAACCCTTTTGAGCCCTGATTTGGAGATTTCAGAGTTTAGATTTTCAGATTAGGTGTGTTCACCCTGTGACATAAATGGATTGGGCCAGATTAAGATTTTGAAAAATTTTTGAGATTTAGCAGCCAAATAAACATGGCAAGCAGTGAATATCTTTCTTCAAGATTAACAAACTGTCAACAATAATTTAGGTAAAGTAGATCTGATTTTATCACCACTTTAGACAAAGGGAAGTGAGTTGAGCAGTGTTCTGTGAAACACTTTGAGAAATTCTGGAGTGGGTTACTTTCAAGGCTAATTTCTGCTCTGGAATTGTTAGGAATCTAAGATATAAAAGGCAGTCCTGTGACATGCTGAGCTCATGTGATACGTCTCCATGTTGGTTCATCAAACGCCTGTTCTCTGTGGGAGTTGATCTAATTTGAAGATAGTTGAAACTGAAATCTAACTATAGCTTTTTGGACAGTACCTAGTTCTCAGCACAACCATTTTGAAGTATAGGAAATATTGCATGATTTAAGACCTCAGAAGAAGAAATTGACAGGCTAGAGGAAGCAAGGGAATTTAAATATTTGTTTTGTAAGATCTTTGGCATAAGTTAAGAAACATCAGAAAGTATTGCTTGACATATTTTTTTCTGTCATTGGGATTTTTATGTTTTTGTTTTGCTTGGTAGCACACACTTAAAATACCAAAACTCATGAGGCCAAAGCAAAAGGATTGTTGTTAGTTTGATGCCACCCAGGGCTACATAGTGAGTTCAAGCCCAGCCTAAACTATACAAGACCTTGTTTCAAAAAGCAAAATAAAAACATGTATTTTTATATTTTTTTAATGTACAGAAACAGCACATTCTGTCTTGGGCTCAGATGCAAATAATGTGGTTATTACTGTTCCATTTGATTTTGGAGAAAAGCAGAAAAAGGCTCTTGGGTAAGTATGATATGGGGTTCATTTTTCTTAATTAAAAGAAATGCAGATTTGACAATATTACAATTCATAATATCATTATAAAATTGTATTTGAAAATACCCTAGCATAATAAATTGTACCATAAATACCTTAATATGGTGATAATCGTTTCATTACCAGGTTAAACTGATGTTTACAAATCATTGCCTATTTCATGTAATTAAGGTTTATGTGGGAATCATATAAGAATATATAATCATAGAAAATATTTGTAATTATTTCATCTGAGATCATAATATTAAACCAAAAAGTTTCATTGGTTTTACAGGTGATCAGGCAAATGTAATTATCGGGCTTGCATACCTTTGATTTGCTGGATGGGGTTCCATTTGATTTTGGCAAGCACTGAAGTGACCTCCCGCCACCCCACTGTATTACTGGTTATTGAGCCCAGGGTCTTTGCACTGAACTACATCCCCAGCACATTTTAATTTTTTATTTTGAGATAACGTCTCATAAGTTGCTAAACTGCTTAGGGTAGGCCCAAGCTTATAACCTTCCTGTCTCAGCCTCCCAGAGTACTGGAATTACAGATGTATGCCACAGCACCTACCTGAAGTTGCTACTGACAGAAAATTGTCATAGTTTAAAAATTGTGACCCTAGATTAATGTAATTGGAAAAATTCTAAAATATTTCATAAATTTATCTTAATCTCTTTATGATCATTTTCCCCCTCATTCAGCTAATAGTTGTCTTTGTTAATTAAACTACTTTTGAACTCAAAGTTGAGTACACAAAGATAACTAAAACATGATTCTGATCTCACAGAATTATCAAGAGAGTTCAGTAAATGTTTTGAATAGGAAATTCTATGTAATTAAGCAGGGTATTCCTCCTAGACTTGGAGAGCCCGAAAAGATAGTAACCCCCCCCCTCCGCCCCAAAAAGTAAACTTTTAAGCTTAGCCATTTCAAAAAGCTTTATTTTTTTTCAGTATAAGCATGTACTTTCTTCCTCAATAAAATGGACTCTGAACATTGTAATGTTAAACAGAAAGTGAGCTGTTACAGAATGACTTCCATTTCACATGTTCTATTTTCTTGCTTCTAAAGATTGTTACACTTTTTGTCTACTTATGGAATCTTACCTGCTATTGCATAAATTTTTTAGTGCAGAATTTCTTAAATTGATTTAAGGTGTTGTGATATTAAATTCACTAAAAACAAATTGTTCACAGAGGAGCAGCTGGAGCAGCTGGATTTAATGTTTTACGATTAATACATGAGCCATCTGCAGCTCTTCTTGCTTATGGAATTGGGCAAGACTCCCCTACCGGAAAAAGGTAAAAACTGTGTTTGCAGCTTTAAGTCTTTTCAATGTAGAAGCATTGCGGATTTTAGCAATTACATCAGTCTTAGTTATTCTGTACTGTAGTGCCCAACCTTTAAGGCTGGAAGATACTGAAATTCTCACCTGGAGTTTGTCAAATGGTTGAGAAAGAAGTGCTGTGAAAGCAAAGGAGGAACATCGCAGGAGGGAAGTTGAGCTTTTCTGCCCTTCTCTTGCTGCCCTCATTTTGTCCCTGTATTAGAGGGAGATTGGGAGATTATAGATCTGGCTCACTTCCAGCAGAAACAAGGACACTTGCCAGCATTTCCTGTGATTACATATTTAGAAATAGTGGATACCGTTTTATGTGCTTTGGACTTGATAGGAGATGAGTGGAAAATCCTGCATGAGGATTTAAGGCTTCAGACCTGCATAACCCTAACTTAGCTATCAATACTGGTTTCTCGATCTGAAGGCCGTTAAACTTCCGAGAAATTAATTCAGATATTATGTTAACTTTCTCTAATTATTTTACTTACTCAGCGTCTCACAGTTAAATTAACATGTATAAATCACTTGGAAGTTATTTTTAGGTAAACTAGATAAATACAGAGATATCAGATTATGAATTTTGATATACAAGAAATGAGTTAGTTTCTAGTTTTGAACATATAATAACTTGCATAATATTAACTCAGTAGTGCAGACTGTAAAATGTATAATATTCAACAGAATAACTTCGTAATACTAGAATTTCTGTATTCTCTTAAAATTCATTGTAATCACTAATCTCTTCCTGATTTACTTTGAAAGTTAGAATTTTGAATTCTGGTTACTCAGGATACAGTTTTACCTGTATTTTCAGCATGACAAGATTAAAAAAAACTCAGAATGTCTATGTTCAAGGCCAAATTCTTCACCAAGTCATTGTAGACACTTGGTTATTCATTTGAGAGTTTCAACTACTTTGTAATTTAAAGATTCAGTGATTTATAATTGTAAACTAGCTTTAAAATGTGATAAATTGCATACTTTCTCTTTCCCTTAAAGCAATGTTCTGGTCTTCAAGCTTGGAGGGACATCCTTATCTCTCAGTGTCATGGAAGTTAACAGTGGGATGTATCGGGTTCTTTCAGCAAACACTGACGATAGCATCGGAGGTGCACATTTCACAGCAGCCTTAGCGCAGTACCTGGCTTCAGAGTTCCAGAGGTGAGTACTAATGGCCTGGTCAATGTAAAGGAGCATGTTATGTCTTCTTTTGATGAGACTGGATTTACCTCTGGAATAAGTGTCCTTTGTGCAGGGGGTTCATCAGCCAGTGAGTGACAAGAACTCAGTGATTTTCTTTTTCAATCATTGGTGGTTGGGCCCCCCCCCCACTTTTTCATGGTACAGAGGATTGACCGCAGTTACCTTTGAACTGCACTGTAGCCTCAGCCCCTTTTTTATTTTTTATTTTCAAACAGGGTCTTGATAAGTTCCCCCAACTGGGTTTGAACTTGTAATCCTCTGGCCTTAGCCTCCCAGAGTGCTGGGATACAGGCAGGAACCACCCTGTAATGGGTTGCTTGTCTGCATAGAGAAGGTATAGGACTAGTCCTTACTACTTTCTGAACAGTTTTTAAAATTTTGCACCGGTTAGAGTTATGTTATCATCATATTCCAGTGAGTCAATGTCCTTTTTTTTTTATTTGCTTGTTTTGATTTTGTTTTTTCTGAGATAGGGCCTTGCTACATAGTTCAGGTTGTCTTTACTCTATAGTTCAGGCTGGCCTCAAACTTGAAGCGTTCCTGCTGCCTCAGCCTCCCACCTGCTGAGATTACAGGTGTGTACCACCAGAGCAGTGAATTAATAAATGTGGATTATTTATTTACTTACTAATCTATAATAAGAAATACTTTAGTATTATTAATGGCTGTTAATTACTCCACTTAAATCTTAATTCTTTTTGACCAGATGAAGAATCTAATATATAGAAATGTTTTAGACCTTGCCACTAAAAAAAAATGTAGTTGAAATAATCCTGTTTTTACAAGGTTGAAAAAGTCATGAAAAAACTTTCTCACTTGTTTAAGAAAACTTAAGAGAACTTATTTTCTTTCTTGTTTAGGAAAGACTTACACTGCTTTTTTTTTTTGCTTTTTTTTATATTTTTATTTGCTGATCTCCCAGGTCCTCCTTCTGCCTTGAGCACCTCCCCCCCTGCCTCTTTTTTTTTTTTTTTAAATAATTGCTTTTTATTTTTATTACAAAAGTGCTGTTTTAACAAAGCAAATGATCCTTACTTAGCCAGCAGTTTTAAAAATTAACTTGCATTGGAGAGAGAACTTTAATTTTACATATTTTGTATGTGTCAGAAAGTACCTTTAGATGTCCGTG